TACCAATGAAAGGGAGAGATTGTCAGACTATTTTTAAAAATCAAATATATGTTGTCTACAAGGGACACACTTTATATTCAAGGACACAAATAGGTTAAAAGTACAAGGACTGACGACAACATGCCATACAAACAAAAAACATTATCTACACATAAGACGCCTGGAATGGCTCTATGAAATAGACTTAAGACAAAAATGTTCATAGAGAAAAAAAGAAAAGAATTTAAAATTACAAAAGGGCAAATTTATCAGAAATATACATCTGTTATAAACATATAAGCACCTAACAGAAACCAAAATATGTGAAGCAAAAACTGATGGAACTGAAGTAGAAGATAACAATTCAACAGTAACAGAAACACCAATACCCGATTTCCCACCAGTTAATGTAATAAACCATATTAACAAAGGACAAAACTATATGTTCATATCGATAGACCAAGAAAAAGCATTTGATCAAATCTAATGCTCATTCCAGATAAAAGCTCTCAACAAACTAGGAATAGAAGGGAACTTCCTCTACCTGATAAAGGGCATCTACAAAAATCCTACAGCCAAAACCACACTTAATGGTGAAAAACTGATGTTTCCTGCCCTCTCCCCACCCCCACCTTAGATCAGGAACAAGACAAGAATGTCTGTTCACATCACTTTTATTTCACATTGTAGTGGATATTCTAGCCAGTGCAATCATGTAAGAAAAATAAATAGAGGGCATCCCTATTGGAAAGAAAAAAATAAGTATCTTTTTATTCACAGAGGACATAATCCTGTATGTAAAAAATTCTAAAGAATCCACCTGCTCTCCAAAAAGCCCACAGAATAAATAATTTCAATTAGATTAGTGACATAAGTCCAATATTTCTAAAACTTAATTTCTATGTACCAGCAGAAAATAATCTGAAACGAAATCAAAAAATGATTCTATTTGTAGTAGCACCAAAAAGAATCAAATACATAGGAATACATTTCATAAAAGAAGTGCAAGACTTATATAATAAAAACCACAGTATCTTCCTGAAAATAATTAAAGAAGAATAAATAGACATATTATGTTTGTAGATTGGGAGACTTAATATTATGAGGCTAACAGTCCTCCAAAACGATCTCTAGATTCAATTTAATACCTATGAAAATTCCAGCAGAATTTTTTCGGACAAAAATAAACTCACCCTTAAATTCACATGGGAATACAAAGGACCCAGAAGCACCAAAATAATTTTGAAAAGAAGTACAAAATTGGAGCATTCACTCTACATTAGTTCAATACTTACTATACGTACATTAATTAAGACAGTGTTATTTTTGAATAATGACAGGCATACAGATCAATGGAACAGAACTAAGAGCCCAGAAAGAAACTCTTACATTTATGATCACTTGGCTTTTGACAAAAGTGCCAAGGTAACTTGATGGGGAAATGTTGTCTTTCCAGAAAACCGTGCATGGAAACATCTGATATCCATATGGCCACATACAAAAATATTAATTGAAACGTTTACCTCATACTATGCACAGAAATAGACTCAAAATGGATCACAGACCTAAATGTAAACGCTAAAATTCTGAAACTTTTAGAAAAACACAGAGGAGAAAATCATGATGATTTGAGTAAAGAGTTCTCAGGTATGACACCAAAAGCACAATCCATAAATATGTTAAATTGAACTTAATCAAAAATAAAATATTTGTGCTTCAAACGACACCATTTTAAAAAAATGAGAAGAAATGCCAAAGACCAAGAGAAAATATTTGCAAATCATAAATATGGCAAAAAACTCATAATCAGAAGATACAAACAACTCTCAAATTTTAATTTTAAGACAAATGATCCAATTTGAAAAGGCAAAATGCTTAATTACATTTTACCAAAGAAGATATACGAATGGCTAATAAGCACATGATAAGATATCCAGTATCATTATTCATTCTGGAAATTCAAACTAAAACCACCACGATAATATCTACTAGTATCATAGCTACTAGTATGGCTACAATCAAAAAGTCAGATAGTGACAAATGGAGGAAAAGATGTAATGAAAAGAAACTTCAGACATTTCTAAGAGAAATGTAAAATGGTACATCCACTTTGGAAAACAGATTTTTCAGTTTCTTATAAAGTTAAACATACCCAATTGAATAAATAAAACATGGTATTTATATAAAATGGAATATTATTCAACCTTAAAAAGGAATGAAATCATGTTACGTGTTACAACATGGACAAACCTTGAAGATATTTTGCTAAGTGAGATAAGCCAGACACAAAAGGACAAATACCATGTGCCTCCACTTATATGAGGTACTGAGAATAGCTAAATTCATAGAAGCAAAGAGTCAGTAGAAGTTATAAGGGGCTGAGGGAGAGGAGAATAGGGAGTTCTCGTTTAATAAATACAGAGTTTCAGTTTGGGATGATTAAAAAATGTGGAGATGGATAGTGGTGATGACACTAAACTTAAAAATGGCTAAAATGGTAAGTTGGATGTGATATATATTTTACCACAATAAAAATATATCAAAACGTTATACAAATTTATATATGACTCAACAATTTCACTCCTATTTACCCAAGAGAAACAGAAACCATATCTGAAAACTTTTACACTAATATCCAAAAAACATTATTCTAAGTAATCAAAATGGAAACTATCAACTGTTCATCAACTAAATGAGTAAAATGTGATATATATGCATCTCTATCTATATAGAACTCTCCCTCTACACACACACACACACACACACACACACACACACACAGAACACTCTGCAGCAATAAATAAGTGAAGAAACAAAATAATAAGCTTCAAAAATATAATGCCAAGTGAAAAGGCCAGATTCAAAAGACAACATATTTCATGATTTATTAATGTATTAAATTGAGACAGAAAGCAGATTAGTGGTTGCCTAGGGCTGTAGGTGGCAACTAGAATAAACTGCAATGAGGAGATATTTTTGGAGGGATGGAAACGTTCTAAAACTGAACTGCAGTGATGGTTGTAAGGCTCTGCAAATAAATATATGAAAGCTTACGGAATTGGCCAGGGATGCTGGCTCATGCCTATAATGCCAACATTTTGGGAGGCTGAGGTGAGAGGATCACTTGTGCCCAGCAATTTGAGACCAGCCTGGGCAATATAGTGAGACACCATCTCTACAAAAAATTAAAAAAATATTGGTGTGATGGTATTTATGCGTGGTCACAGCTACTCGGGAGGCTAAGGTGGGAGGATTGCTTGAGCTCAGATGGCGGAAAGGCTGCAGTGAGACCCTATCTCAAACAAAAAACAAACAGAATCTCATGGAACTGTACATTTAAAAGGATGAATTTTGTAATATGTAAATTCTACCTCAATAAAGATGTTTAAAAATAATTTTCCCATTGTCAGGCACATAACTCCCACTGACTTTTTAAAATAACAACTTAATTGAAATACAGTTCATATATCATATGATCACCCATTTAAAGGGTACAATTCAAAGGTTCAGTAGCTTTGGGAATATTCAGAGTTGTGCAACCTTTGCCATGATCAGTTTCAGAACGTTTTCATCAGCTCTCCAGAAAGCTTTACACAGTCGCAATCACTCTCCCTTTCCCCCAAGACACCCCAGCTTCTGCCTCTTTCTACTTCTCTCTACTTCTAGCTAGAAAGAAGGTAACTCTTCCTACTTCTGCCTCTGCTTTTTTCCTCTATAAACTGTTCTGGACATTTTGACCATGGGAATGGAAAAACATCCCAGGATAGCAGTTCTCAACTGAGGCTGATGTCAGAATCACCTAGGGAGCTTCAATAAAATACCGGCATTTGGATCCAACATCTGCAGATTCTGATGCAATTGGTTTAAGATGTAGCCTGGGCATCAGGGTATTAAAACCTCCCCAGATAAATCTAGCATGTGGCCAAGGTTAAGATCTCTATTGTAGGGCAGTCATGTTTAAACTTTAGTATGCATCAGCATCACCTGGAGGGCCTATAACAATATGAGTTGCTGGATCTTATTCTGAGGGTATCTGATTCAGTGGGTTTGAGGTAAAACCTAAGAATCTGCATTTTTTAACAAGTTTGCAAGTGACGCTGATGCTCTGGTCCAGGGATGCACTTTAAGAATCTTGGGAGATGTCAGAACAGCAAGATGGAAGGAACCTGAGCCCCAGTAGCTAGGCCCCCTATTTTCCTTAAACCACCTACCTACTTTATATTATTACCTAAACAAGAAGTAAAAGTTTACTCTGAACTGCAACGGCAGCCCAGCCTGTTTCCTAATACACATCCCTTGGACTGCAGTCTTTCAACAGCAAGAAAAGTCAAGATCTAAAACAAAGTTCTCATTTCATGCAAATTCACACATGTAATTTACACCCCTTGGCTTTCGAGAGATTTTCCTACAAGAGAAGAATGATCTTGGAACACTGCACAGTTTACAACAGAATCAGTTTCTCATGGTAATTGGTGAAAACAATCCACAGAGTTCTGTTTTGGAAGCATTATTTAGACTGGAGGGATTATGATCCAAGCAGGCAGTTCAGTTAATTTTCTCATTTAAGCCACAGCCACAGTTGGGTAACCCAAGGCTTCCAGTGCAAAGCTACTTTGATCCAAACCATAGCAGCAATTCTGAATGATGGAGAAACCCTTCCTACATAATACATGGGGAGTGTATCAGTTCCTCTTTGCTGTTTTTCTCTTTACACACAAATATAAAATGGACCAATGCACTCCAGCTCTTTTCACTTAATTGTCATGCAAAGATCTTGGATATTCATCCCTCCAATCTGAATAACTAATGGAGCTTGGGCATTTGTTGAGCAAAGGGTGAAGCTAGTAGGAGTTCACCTGTGTAGGAAATCTGTTTCAGCCTCAAGCTCTTGATGGTAAAACTCTTTGCTGGTGTATCATTATTTCCTGAAAACATTCACAGTATCAAAAAGAGGTGGGTGGTGGTGTTGGAAGGCCACAGAGTCAAACTCACCAGGTAGAGGAGGAAAGGAGCTAACATACCTGACAAACTGGCTGAATAAGGCTGTAGTGTTCCGGATGATCCGAGCAGCCTGGGACTCCTCACGCTGGCATCTCTGCAGTGTTAATCCATCATCCATGTGGCCTTCCTGATGGAGTATGACCTACCCACGTGGCAAGGGACAGAAGCTCTAAGGTTACAATTATTCCACATATGGGCAGTCAACATTTCCCGCAGTATTTCCCTCATCCCTCTTATTCCTTTCTCCAAATAAGCTCCCCTGGGTCCATTTTGAGAATGGGAGATTAGCAAAGTTATTGCACCCATATGCCCTGTTAGTGACATGTGCATCATTCCTTAGACACAGTGCTTTGATGAAAATGAAATTTTATGTGCCACCGTGGTATGAGTTATGACACATTCCTCAGGCCTAGATTTGAAAGGGTGATAACATATCTCATAATCGATTTTTCTCTTAAAATGAACATGGAATCTTACCCTTGGAAATGGGAAAAGTCACTGTGTTCAAAGTCTCTTCCTCCAGAGATGAATTGAAGAAAAAGACAATGTAAAGCAAAACCCTGTGCTGGGATCAGGCTTAGTTTCTCGACTGAAGGCCAACTACACTGAGTTAGTTAACTGTAGGGCTGGGGAAAGCAGCTCAAGGTGGTAGCTGGCTTCTCTTGGAGGCTAGAGAGCCAATTTTAAAGCATGGGCTCTGATATCAGCAGACCTTTGTCTAGTCCTGCTATGCCACTTACCAGCTGTGTGACCTTGGGCAAGTTACTTAACCCCCATTTGCTTTGGATTTCACCATCTGCAAACGGACTTATCTTAGAGGGTTGTTTGCAGGATTCAGTGATTTACATGTCATCAACTGGCATGGTACCTAGAATCTAATAGGTGCTCAATGAGTGTTTATTATCAGAGGCAGTATAGTACTGATGTTAGACCAGTTATCTGGAAGCTAAGCATATGTACTTGTCACTAAGGACACCATGACACAATTTTTTTGGGAGGGGCTACCCACTTTTTATGTGGAGGTCAGTGGCTTTTTCCCTTAAAACGATCAAGTGGGCCAGGCACGGTGGCTCAAGCCTGTAATACCAGCACTTTGGGAGGCCGAGACGGGCGGATCACGAGGTCAGGAGATCGAGACCATCCTGGCTAACACGGTGAAACCCCGTCCATACTAAAAAATACAAAAAATTAGCCAGGAGTGGTGGCACACACCTGTAATCCCACCTACTCGGGAGGCTGAGGCAGGAGAATGGTGTAAACCCGGGAGGCGGAGCTTGCAGTAAGCTGAGATCCGGCCACTGCACTCCAGCCTGGCCGACAGAGCGAGACTCCGTCTCAAAAAAAAAAAAAAAAAAAAAAAAAAAAAAAAAACAACAACAACAACGACGACAAAAAAAAAAAGATCAAGTGTGTTAAGTGAGACAGTTTGATCCTGGTTCAAGTCGAGGTCAAATCCTGATCCAAGTTCCTTGACATGGTTTCCTCTTGATGGAAGTAAGCAAAGACAGACAATGTGTAGATCCTGGAAGTCTACATGTCAACACGGACAAAACGTGTGGCTCTAGAAAGTATCTATAGAATAAATATTGTTGGCCTCTCTCATTTTTAGCTTAAAGAAGCAACTTATTTTCCTTTCCATGTGAAAAATCTTTTCCTTGCTTTTTATTATTTTGAAGGTACTTCCTGATATGATGAATTAGAATTCAGACTTGTTCATTTTTGAAACAAGACTTTGCATCCCATCTGTATACTGCAGTGTGAGCATTAGCAAAGGACACTGTCACCATTGGAATCACTAACTGTTAGAAAATATTCCTTGGTCAGAACACCTCAGCAACTGATTAGCAACGCTGCATTTGGATTTAGTAATACATTGCCACTATGTTTACTTTGGCCTGGGTCCCAGATTTCTGGTCCTTAAAGACCAAAATTCTTAGGTTTTGCTTGTTCAGATAACACCTTTAAACTGGCCAGCCAAATGAGAAAGTAATGAGAACTGGGGGGAGATGCAGTTGCTAGAATGTTGTTATTATGAACCCTACTGATCTCAGCAGCCCAGTTCCTAAGGTCCTTCTTTCTCTTGGAGAAATCTTACAACTGAAGAGCAGGGAGAAGAAGCCTAAGGTGGGAATAGGAAAGAGGGTGCTTTAAAGTGGCTACTCATCAGGTGTTTCATTGTGTTTGTGCTTGATTGGTTTCTGTTGATTACTGTTTTATTCATTTCATAAAACACGGCACAGATTCAGACATCCTTTGTATTTTTAGAGAGGGCACTTAACATGCTTCCTAGGAAAAGAAGCAGCATCGCCCTGTCGAGGGCTGAGCACTATTGCACCAGCTGGGGAGAGTTCATAAAAGCACCTCCCCAATTCACACATACATTCTAACAGTTAAATGAATGTGTGGGCTATGGTCCTAGAAGAGAAAGGCATGGACAGGTACAATAAGTCAACAATGCGAAATGAGATCTCTCCACATTTGCAGAGTCCTTGGAGTGTGTCCCTGCCACTCAGAGTTACAGCCAAGATCCACAAATTCTACTTTATTTAAATGCTACCAATGCCTTAGTAGGTCTCAAAAACTGTAGAGGCTCTAGACGGTATTACTGTACTCTACAGAGGATTGAATTTTCTTCTGATAGGCTGGTAAGAGTAGAGGATGAGTTTTTGGCATTTATTTTCCATTTGTTCTTATTTCCAGCGTGTAGCCCTCATTCCCGGGGTGTAGCTCTTCTGAAGATCAACTGAAAGCCTACTGTATTTCCCAGGGTCATTCCAACTTGTCACACCCTGAACCCTGACTTGTATATCTCTAGTACTGTCATAATGTCAACACCTCTGCTTTGCTCTTCATGATCACAGCAGTTTTGCGTCTACTATTTTGGCTTCACACCCCATCCACGGTCAGCTTAGGATTCTAGAGGAAACTGCATGTAGAATTTTAGGCACATGTTTTTGCAGTTCTCTCTACTCTGGACTCTTGGACCCTTGAGTTCCAGAAGCCTTGGCTGAACCTATGTCTAATCTGACTCTTTAGCACAATTGAGCTAATGCAAGATCCCATTCCCTAGTTCTGCAAATCAGCAAATGTGCTGAGGGGGAAAACAAAGACGAAGGTGGGCTCACCTCAGTGCACTTACATTCTGTGTGCAATATTTTGTGCGTATGTTTTGGCTGGCTTGGTTATTGAAACCTTCCATTTTTTTTTTGAAGGTACTGTATCCAGCCTGTGCAGCTGTTTTCAGAGGAAGGGTTGGTCTCATACAAGCCAGATTATGTGGTCTCTTATTTATTGTATTTTCTATCCCCTCTTGATCACTTCATTTCCCCTTTTCTAGATATCTTCCTAGTCTGTGTTGCCTTACACAAAATTAAGATATTACCTTATGTTCATTCTCAACATCCTTTCTTACCACAACCTGCATTCTGGAAAACTTTTCATCATGACTACCTTAGGCTGCTATACCTCAACTACAGAGCACAGTACCTTCCAGCACCTTATTCTGGGACTAGTTGACTATTTAAACCCATATTTTATAAG